GGCTCCTCCTTGAAGAGTTGGCAGTAGGTCTTCTTGATCATGACTGTGAAATAATGCACAGCACCTGGAGAGCCACTGCAGGGCAAAGAAAGAGAGAGTTCAAGGCCTCCTCCATCCAAGTGTCCATGGAATTGGAGTGCTTCTTTGTGGACTCAGAAAGCAGGTAGGATGGGAGAGACAGGTCCAGGCTGACCCTCAGAGGTCCTGCAAGGAAGGTCACCAAAGCCCCAGGGCTGACTCCACATTCCTGCCTTCTCAGTCAAACTCTGCTGAGGCGCTGTGAGGTAGGCCAGGTGCGAATATCCCCATTTTACAAATGAGGCCAGGCAGGTATTCCAGGTAAATGTCAAGCCCAAATGTCCTGAGCCAATAAGAAGCATGCATCAGCATTCAAACCCAGTGTTTCAACATCATGCATCTGGTTGGCTTTGACTCTGGTTAGCTCCGTTAAAACATGTCCTTCTGCTTTGGATTAACAAAAGAGGACTCAGTATTTCAAAAGCAAAGGAGATTGCGGCTTAATAATGCTAAAGGTCAGGCAAGTTTTGCAGTCCTATTCCATCCTCCCACCCCAGTGGGTGAGGTGAACTGAGGGCAGCTGTGAGGGAGCAAGCACAGGAAAGTAGATAAAATCCACAAGTTAAAAATTGCTTGGAAATAAGTAGAAAAAAGATTATGCAATTTTGATGACAAGATATACACATACATGCGACAAAATAACATCAGAAGCCCTAAAAAGAGCACAATGTGTAAGATTTTCTTATCATTCCCTCACCACAAATCATAACTGGAATCGGGATTAGCTGGAAAATTTGTGGGGCCAGTACAAAGTCAACATGTGGCCCTCATTCCACAAAGATGGAGGACTTCAGGGCAAGGCGTTAAACAATCACGGGGCTCCATATGACTGCATGAGCGCCACCTGTCACTTGGGCCCCACCCCATGAAGCAGGTGGCATTACCTTCTCTGAACCTTTTGTAGTTCTGCCTCAAGGATCAGGTTTCAGCTGAAGGTCTAGGAAAAGTAGCAATCAGGTCATTTGAGCAGACTGCTCTGTGAGGCAGGGGTTTGTCAAGACCTGCAAAGACCATCTCTCATGGGTGGTGAAAGAGGAGTGGGTCCATGTACGACGAGGAGACCTCAGCCTCGTGCTGAGGCTCCATGAATCAGACCAGTTTTATTACATTCGGATTTTTTTAATCACTATGCCATGGATTAACACCACTGAAGAAAACCGCCAGAGTTCTTCACACTTTGACCTTAAAGGAAGAGGACAAAGTCTCCGTGCCATGAAACCTTGGCATCAAAGGTCCCTGGACAGAAGTAAAGGTGAATATATTCCCATGTGGGAATTAGGAGGATCTGTGTGATGTTGCTCTGAAAGAGCTTGCAAACCGGATTGCTTCAAAACTCATGTGCTCACTGATGCTGTGCAGAGATAGAGATATCCTTGGCAAAAAGAAATCACAAAGCAACACTTTGGGGCCAGTATGAGTCTTCATTGAATTGTGGAGTCATTACACAAAGAAACTAAGGTAAGACAATTTGCCAAGGAGGTATTTGAAAGTGTCTGTTGGAGTCATAATATTGAAATGCAAATTATTAAGTATACTTAACATCAATTAGATGACCCCCGGGCTAGTGGTTAAGCCCCCATACCCCTATTTCCATCCACAGCCATCATTCAATAGCATTTGCCATTGCCATTTTGTTAATAAAATAAGGGCAGCCTTGGTTTCTAGCATCCTGGATTTTTTGTTGAGCCAAGCAGCACGGTGCATGAAAGGCCTGTCAAGAGATCTGACGTAAATGGAAATCGCAGAGTGTCATAATGCCGCACAACAGGTGCACGGAATAGATGTTCAAAATGCTTTCTATTATTTGGCTTTTTTGGAATCAAATCAGAATCAAGAACAATAGTGGCCATTTCAGATAAATTACTTCTGCACATTCTTGCAGATTGAGCAGCTGTAAGGAGGGGAGGGGGAAGTTGGGGGTGCTTGCTATTTGGAAGGTGGATGCAAATACATTTGTAATGTGTATACAGTATACTCAGTATATTAAATTTTTGCCTTTCATGTGCAATGATAAAAGTCATCTTCTTTCCAGGATTGCATGTTTCATTAATACCACATTTTAATAATTAAAGAGCACAACTCTAGAGGCAATAAATATAGCTAAGATAAAAGTTTGCAGACAATCCTTTTTTTTTCCCCCTCAGTCCCTCTGAAGAACCTATGGAGATGCAGTTTAATGACTTAAATTCTAAAATGGGTTATTTAATAAAATATTGGGTGTTTATGTCAATTTGTTTGAGAGAGCAGTATATTGGTCAGGTGTAGTGTTATTAATGATAGCAGGTGGGGTGATGGGCCTGTGCTCCCCTCTGCACCTCATTATCCACTTCTGCCCACTCTGCCTATTGCTGTTGCACCGTAGTTACTGTTTGTAATTTTTAATGTTGGGAAGGGAGAGGTTTGTTGTCTTTCTAATCCTCTCTGTTAGCATATTCTATTTTATTAGACGTAATTCAGAGGGAGAGAGAAAGGGAGGCAGACACTGGTTAAGGGGGATATATAATTGGGTGTAGTGGGATTAAACTATTATTAGTGTACACTCCTAATGGATGCCCCATAAAGAACCCATGGCAAAGCATTAATGAGCTATGAAGGAAGAGTAGGCAAGCCGAACAGTGTGTCCATTATTGCAATCCTACTTACGCACAAATCGTTTAGCAACCACTTGAAAGGAACACCAGACTCCTGATATTTAAGCAGAGTCATTTTCCTTCAGAATTCTCTGCTCTTTTTAAATCTGAAACTTCAGTTTGCAAGATCTTCCTCCCATGCCAATCCTGAGGTTTAGTTTTGCTCTAACATCAAGCCTTATATATTAAAAAAAAATAACAACCCCCTCAAAAATTTAAATCTAATAGAGAAATAGATATATGTGTATCAAAAGTGGTCTCTTTTTTGATTTAAAAAAAAAAAACAAGATATGTGAACGCTAATGCCCCCAGGTGATAGGAGTAGGAAATAAGTTAAAGAGCATTAATTTTAGGTATAAATATTCAAAAGTTAAAAAAATTAAATGTGAAAATTATAATGTGCTTTTATGTCAGAGTTGGAAAAAATCAGCGACATCCTTTTGCTGGGGTTCTTATTCTGTATGTTGCAGGTGACAAATCAGAAAGAAAAAGAAAGTACACAGAGCATCGCTGATGTGTTAGATAACATACTTAAGTGTATTTGATGGATTGCTCTTTGGCTTATGTGTGTATCTGATGGATTACTCTCCACTTAAATTGTGTAAATATGTACAGTACATCTCTTCCTCCTTATATATATATATTTTTTCTTCTCTTCTCCCTTTTACAGTTAAGCAGGTTTTCCCATCTCTGAAAGGCAAGTGTAATAGATTTGATGACAACAGCCGGGAACTCAGGGCATATCAATTAGAGTCACTTCTGTGTGATTGTTTTCAATCACTGATTTTTGATGATACTTTTATCTAAGACGGTATTAATACTCCACTTACGTAACGGTGGATGTTTGCAAAACCCTTTTCCCCCATTGAACCACCACCCCCCTCCACTCCTCACCACAAAGCTGATTTGGAGACTTTCTTATTTTAAAATGTGTATAAGAAACAGTGCTTGAAGTCCTGTCCAACAGTAAAGTTTTAGATAATATTCTTTCCCAAGTGAATATGTTTTAAAATCATTTAAATCCCCTAGCTGCCTGTGTGTTCCATAAATCCTCCACCTCTCCTCTGTGGAGGCTTGTCCAGCGTTTGTAACCTGGAATGTGTAAAATATGAAATAATCAAGAGTATTTTTTTTCCGATGGAAACTGAGCTACCTCCCCAATGGAATGTGGATTCAGGCAATTTCACACGATAAGGTTTGCTGCAAAGCAGGCACCCAAGATCCGGGATTTAACCTTCCAAAGATGCACAGTTTCATTTTTTGATGTATCTTTTCGCTTTTATAAAAATGGGTTTCAGTTCTCATCCATAAACTACTAGGTAGAGAAATGAAAAGTTCTTTGCATGAAAAATCGCCTCCGAAGGTATATGCACACTTGGTGTTGGAAGTAATTTTCACTTTTTTCCCATTCATTTTTATTGCTTTCCAGAGTGAAAACTCCGTAGACTCAGAAGCCAAAGGGCCTTTTGAAAAAGCGCCACTTTCAGATTTCAGCCTCAGCCTCAGCTGATCGACAAGGGAGGTTCTAACAAGACAGTTGCTAGCTGCCGGCTACAGTTCCCACTTTTGTTTCCTGTGGAAACTAACACGGGGCAAATTGAAAGAGTGATTATTGGAGGGCTCCTCTGTCTTTCCTGATCCAGCGTCTCCAGTATTTTCATAGAAAATGGGAGCAGGGAAAGCAGGGGAGATGTCAGCCCTTGTCACTTTCAGCTGTGGCTGATGGCAGAGAGCTGGCTGCAAGTTCTGGCTTTTCAAACAAGCTACTGAAATCTCTGTTCTTTTTACTTTTAAAACAAAGAGGGAAAATATTAGTGGAACGTCGACTTCACCTTTACCTGTCCCCCCATGCCTTCCTTTTGCTGCATGATTTTTAGGGAGGAGGAAAGCTACTATACTTCACATGGGAAACTGCAGTGTCCAGTCTGTGCTCAACAAATTAACCCTTGAATAAGGGATGCCCTCTAAGCATGGGCACTGTATTTGTGAATGTAACTAACTGGCCAGACCAGTAGGTGACTATCTCTACTGTTTCCTTCCTAATGGACACTCCTTCTATAATTTATAAATCCCATCTTTTATGAGGCTAGAAAAAAATGGCAGAATATGCTCAGAAAACATAATTATTACTGATCATAATGTTAACATGGACTTAAATTAAGAATGAGTATTTTCTTTGCACAGATCAAAGTTTTTCATGCCTCCATTGCTACCTTCTTTAGGTAACTTCAACCAAATAGCTGTATTTAAATTTTAACAATTTAATATATTTGCTGGTTTTGACCCCTACAGGCTGACCAAAATTTATTTAATCATATGATGTTCTACTTTAATAACATGACATTTGAAGACATCAGACTATACCACTGAATAAGGGAATGGCTTCTTTGGATGACTCAGAGGATGATGGAAAGAGAAATTCTTGTGATCAGTTTGCTGATCGTATCTATCATTATTGTGCACTGATATCCACCAGACACCTGGCCTGAAGTGTCCCAACTCATCTCCCAACAATGTTTGAAGGTACCTACTATTACCCTTACTTGGAAGATGAGAAAACTAAAGCTTGGTTACATAAGTCTGCAATGTCACACCCTGAGAGATGAAATAGGATGCAAACTCGGTCTTTCTGACTCAGAACATGTGTTTGTAACCACTCTGCTCTCTCACAATTTTTACCTCTGTTGCCTCACCCTGGGGTACTGTGGAGTGGTGAATGACCCAAAATACACACACACACACACACACACACAATGATTGCCTGTATCCTCACGCCTGTTTAGACAAAAGAACACACCCAGACTGCTAAACAGACTTGCTGGACGGCACAGTATATACGCTCATTGTGGGGCTGCAAGGTAATTAGGAAGAATGGAAGGGGCTCTAAATAGAGACTTGGTTGGTCTTCCTACTTTTCTCCCAACACTTCCAACTTAGCGTTAGTGGCTCTCTGCCTTACTCCCATCTAATCTGCAGAGGAGAGGCTGTGTGTGTGTGTGTGTGTGTGTGTGTGTGAGTGTGTGTAGGGACACAGTCTAGCTTGCTTAGCACTGGTGCTGAGGAGATGCAGGAGGTATGTGACTTCCAGGGCCTAGGCACCAAGTCCTTGGCATCTGGGCATCTTGGACATAAAGGAGAGGAATTTTGTTTACAGTAGGGGAAGGAGCTGTCCTCGATATATTCTATAACTTCCAAAGACAGCCTTGCCACCTCCCTACACACACACACACACACACACACACACACATACACACACACATACACACAAACACTGAACAAAGGACATTTCAATCTTGTCTCAGAGACATATGTTGGTCCCCATACTGAGGAAGCTTCAACTTAAAATTGCCTAAAATTCTTTGACCCCCCAAAATAAAAAAATAAAAGGAGGTTCATTCTACAAGTTGTAGTCGATGCATTGCAAGTCAAATATCTATGAGCCTCAACAGCAGAACCACGTGTTGTGCTTCAGGTCTGAGCAAGGACCCACAGCTGTTTCCCAGGTTGAAGAAGGGGAGAAGAAGGGGAATCAGAGATCAATGAAACGTTTGTCACCTGCGGGGAAAGGCCAGAGAGATGGTGGTACCAAGGGGTGGGAGAGACAGGCTGAAAATCACCTCCACTCTGTGTACATTGGCTTTATGTGCTCTCCACAAGAGTGTCATTGTCCACACAAACTCCTTTATTAAAGCTGATAAGGAACACACTGGAAGTATGTTCTCTGATGTCAAAGGAGCAAGAGGTTCTTTTCCCATTTCACTATTAAGGTAACTTGCCAACTTCATTGTTTTAGGAGGGACAGAAATCAGCTCTTGAAGACTGAACTCTTATTGATTTCCTATTTGATAACAATATTTTCAAAAAAAATTTTTTTTAAACTTTCTTGAAAGAAATGTTTAGACTGTCAAAACAAAACTCCAAAGTTTCTTTAAAAGGGTCATTTACCTATTTGCCTATTTTCTAACGGCAAATATCCAAAATCATCTATTTTTTTTAAAAAATTCAAATTATTCTACTGATCTGCAAAAATTACAGTAGTATATATATGTGTAACTACATAAAATTACAATAATCGATATATAAATTCAATAGTGTATATACATATATAATATCCATATTATATATACACATATATAGTAGTCCCAATTTATCCTTCAAGGATCCATTCCAAGACCCTCAGTGGATGTTTTGGTTCATGGATATTATGGAACTAAGTCTCTCTCTCTCTCTCTCTCTCTCTCTATATATATATATATATATATATATATATATACATACACACACACACTCACATACACACACATATTTATTCTGTTTTTCCTATACAGGCATAGCTATGATAAAGTTTAATTTATAAATTAGGCATGGTAAAAGATTAACAACAATAACTAATGATAAAATAGAAAGTTATACCAATATGGAGCCAAAAAAATTTTGGCATCATTAGTTTTGTACCTCGGGATAATTATTAATTAAAACAAGGATTATTTAACACAAACACTGTCACACTATTATAGTCAATCTGGTAAGAAAGATAGCAATTAAACAACTAATGAGTAGCATATACTGTGTGGATACACTGGACAAAGGGATGATTGATATCCCTGGCAGGATGGAACTGGATGGCATAAGATTTCATGATGCTTCTCAAAAGAGCACTGAATTGAAGACTTATCTGTTGTTTATTACTGGAATTCTCCACATAATATTTCAGATTGTGATTGCCTGTGGGTAACTGAAACTGTCGAAAGCAAACCCATGGATGAGAAGGGACGACCACATACATAAATAAATATTTATTTTAATTGATAGTAGGTGAGAAGCACAGACTCTCAAGCCTGAATCAGCATTCTTGACTTGAGTTCGAGCTCTGCCATTGACTAGTTTTGTGAACTCAGATAACTTGGATAAGTTTCTCAGCTTCTCTGTGTCTTGGTTTCTTCATCTCTAAACTAGAGAGCAGTAACAGTACTCATGTCACTGGGTGTTGTTTACTGAATAAAACATCAGTGAAGGATTATTCACGATGATTTGATGAAGTAAATACTGCATTCTCCATTTTGTCTGATGGAACACTTCAAGCTGAGAAGCCCATCTCATCACGGTTTGGTGATGCAGTTAACAGGGTGTGATTCCAAGTCTGCCTGACCCTAGAGCCCATGTTCTCACCATTCAACTACACCACCATCTTAATTTAGCCTTGTCAATGAATTTTCTTCACATACCCACTTAATTTTAAAGCTTATGTTTTTCACTTGAAGATATTCTCCATATATTATGGATGCTAAGATGCTAAGTCTTTAGTGAGTCTAGGGAATGTTGTTTAAATTTGTTTTACACACTTCTACATTTTTAAGTTTATTTTTTAACTACCAAGAGAAAGTTTAGTTTTTTAACTACTAACAAAAACAACAACAACAACAAAAAAACATAAAAAGCATACATCCTCATAGGTTCCAATGGAATATTTCAACACAAATGTGTAATGCTTAAATTGAATTATATATATATATATATATATATATATATATATATATATATATATCTCCTCAGACATTTATATTTTCTCTATGATGAAAAACATTCAAACTCCTTCCTTAAAGCTTTTCAAAATGCATATAGACTACATTATCTGCAGTCATCTCACTTGCACAATAGCACACCACATTTACTCCTAACTAGAGGTGAATATTCATCAATGAACTTCTCATTCCTTCTTCCCTCTCTCCACTCACCACAGCTTATGGTAACCCTCATTCCACTCTCACCTCCTAAGCCCACTTTTTAGTATTTCCCCTCTGAGTGAGACCACATGGTACTTCTCTTTCTGTGTCTGGATTATGTCATTTAACACAATGATCCCCAGTTCTGCTTTTGTTGTCACAAATGACTGGCTTATATTTTGTTTGTGACTGAATAATATTCCATTGCATACATGTACCACATTTTCTTTATTCATTTTTCCATTGACGGACACTTAGATTGTTTCCATTTCTTGGCTCTTGTGACGAATCCTGCAATACACAATGGAGGGTAGGTGTCATTTCAACATATTGAATTCATTTCCTTTGGTTATACACCCAGTAATGGGATTGTGGGATCAAATGACAGTGCTATTTTTAATTTCTTGAGAAAACACCATACTGTTTACCATAATGGCTGTACCAATTTGCCTTTCTACCAACAGTACGCAAGAGATCCCTTATCTACATGTCCTCACTAGTACTTGTTATCTTTTCTTTTTGATAATAGCTATTCTTACTGGGGTGAGGTGGTATTTCCTCGTGTTTTTGAATTGCATTTCCCTAATGATTAGTGATGTTGAACATTCTTTCACATACCTGTTGACTATTTGTATGTCTTCCCTTGAGAAAAGTCTATTTAAGTATATTGACTGTGTGTGTGTGTGTGTGTGTGTGTTACCAGGGATTAAACCCAGGGGCACTTAACTACTGAGCCACATCCCCAGTTTTTTATTTATTTTATTTTATTTTAGGGCCTCACTAAGTTGCTGAGGCTGGCTTTTTCCTTCCTCAGCCTCTGAATGGCTGAAATTACAGTCATGCACCACTATGATTGGATATTGACAATTTTCAGTTGAGTGGTTGTTGTTGTTATTGTTGTTGGCTTTTTTTTGTTTGTTTTTGTATTTTTTAAATTGGGTCTTGTTCTCATTTCAATTTGTTTTTTTTATTTTTGTTATTGAAGCTTTTGAGTTTTTTACATATCTTGGATATTTACCTCTTGTCAGTAGTACAGTTTGCTATATTTCCCCTCATTCTATAGGTTGTGTATTCACTCTGTTGAGGGATTCCTCTATTGAGCAGATGCTTTTCTATTTGAAAATTGAAAAATTTCAATTTGAGATAATCCCATGTGTCTATTTTTTTTTCTCTTGTTTCCTGATCTTTGGGGGTCTTGTCCAAAAAATCCTAGCTCATTCCAATATCCTGAAAATTTTCCATTTTCTTCTTGTAGTTTCATAGTTCCAGGTCTAACATTTAAGTCTTTAATCCATTTTGGATTGATTTTTGTTACTGGTGAGAAACACAGTCTACACACACACACACAAACACACACACACATATACAAACACACACTCAGAGGAGCTGGGCGTACAACAACTATATCTAAGCCTTGATGCTAAATCAAGAAAGAAATGACAGACTTGTCAACAAATGGTGCCCAGAACATCTGGGAGAAAAAGAGACCAAAAAGGTGAAGTTAGATCTCCAACTCAGACTATTTGCAAAATATATAGTCTAACCCAGTTAGAGAAGCGCTTGAAATAGGAAAAATCAAAAATTCAACATTTTAGAAGAAAATGTAAGAGAACGCATTTTTTGACATTGAGCTTCAGAAGAATTTTTAAAATGAAAACACAGGGGGGTGGGGGGGTGGGGGGACCATACTGCCTAAAAGATTGATTCGTCTGTCTCCAGAAAAAATAAAAACACTCCAGGAAAGTTCCCATTTCCTGATGCTACTTCACTGATCTGTTTGTTTAACCTCTCCTGTAAACCACAATGATTTTGTCACTATTGCTTTGTAAGAAGCTTTGCTATCTGTTTTCCTCCTCCCGTTATTATTCTTTTATGGATATATTGCTTTTGTCGGCATGGTGCTTAATTCCCGTTTGCATTTCTCTGCTTTCTTTAGGGTTCAAATTTTTATTCCTGGAGTCACCCTTCCTCAATGCTGCTTGTGAATGGTAAACGACCCGAATCTTTGTCTGAAAAATGTCTGCATTTCAATCTTGGTGTCAAGTGATTATTTATCAGTCTGTGAAATTCTGCATTGATGGCTTAGCTGTGTTCTCCTGGCCCACTTAAGGTATTATTCCATTGTCCTCTGTATTTCTGGTACCTGAGGAGTTTCCACTCTAGAGCTCAACTACGTGTTTAAAAGAATCTTCATTAAATTGCATGTCGCTTTTTGGTATCGGTGCCAAGACAGCGTTCGTGTTATTTCATCCACCATATTACCAGCACCGGAAATCTCAGGATGCCCTCAGCATCTCAGCCCCTGCCATACTGTGGAGAACACAATGAACGCAATGGTGGAATTTTCGAAAATTTAAGGGAGTCCTTTTTCACCCTATTTTTGATTCACTTCTCTTTTCAACAAAACTTTTTGGACAAGTGTTTTTATTTCCACATTTATTTTTATATTCTACTTATGAAACAATCTCTGGATATTTGGTCATTGGTATTGATTTGACTATCTACATCATTGGAAAGTGAAGAAGTGGAATATTTCAGGACTGGAATCTCAGATTGTGACTGAAATGCCTGCAATCCCAGTGAATGGGGAGGCTGAGGCAGGAGGATGGCAAGTTCCAGGCCAGCCTTAGCAACTTAGGGAGTCCCTAAGTAAACTTAGAGAGATACTGTCTCAAAAAAAAAAAAAAAAAAAAAAACATGAAAAGTACTGGGGACTTAGCTCAGTAGTTGAGCACCACTAACTCAATCCCCAACCCAAAAAACAAATTCCTCCTAAGCCTGTGGTCTTCCCAGGTCCCAGATTCCAATGCTGTCCAGGCTTTTTGGTCCCTGTACAGCATTAAGTCTTCAGTTTATTCCACTTTCTATCCCTAAGATCCAGAGCTGTGACTTACCTATGGAAAGATACCCAGCAGTAAGATGGCAGAATCATGAAACAGGTATTTGTTACCACTTTTTAAAGGAAATGACAAATATTTTCCAAATAATGATATTATTTTACTTTGCTATCCACAGAGTATGAGAGCCCTGATTCCATTACCATCTCATCAGCATTTGGACAGATTGTTTTTTTTTTTTTAATCTTAGCCATGCTACTGTGTATCTCAGCGTCTTTTTAGTTTATGTCCACTAATTATTAATAATGCTGAGCAGCTTGTCATATGCTGACTTCCATCCATATACCTCCATCACAAAGTGTCTATTCAGAACACATTCTTAAAACAACTTTTGGAGGGCTGGGGATGTGGCTCAAGTGGTAACACACTATCCTGGTATGCGCGAGGCACTGGGTTAGATCCTCAGCACCACATACAAATAAAATAAAGATATTGTGTCCACCTAAAAACTAAAAAATAAATATTAAAAAAAATTTTTGAACTATTGAGCATTTAAACTTTTCACAGAAATAAATATACTTTAAAATTATGTTCTTCCAATCCGTGGTTTATCCTTTCCACTAACAGTATCATTTCTTGGCGGGGGCATGATAATGTTTTTAATATTGATGACATCCAAGCTTTCAGATTTCTTTTGTGGAAAATGGTTTTGCCATTGTAGCTACAAAATCTTAGCTTAAGGCAGACACAATATTTTTTGCCTTTGTGTTTTCTTCTAAAATTTACCTAGTTTTAGGTTTTACGCTAAGTACATTTTGAGATAATTTTTCCAACAGTGAGATATGTGGATCAAAGTTCATTTTGTGAGATATGGACATCTGGGTGTTTCAGTGCCATTTGTTGAAATACCTACATTGTTGTGAGAAATAAATATTTTTAAAATAACTTTAGCTCAGTAAAACAATTCTTTTGTTTCTTCTTTTGTTTGTGTGCTTAGAAAAAACTTCTGCAACCAGAAATCAAGTAAATGACATTTTCTCCAAAGACCTTTTAATTTTTTCATCTCTTTTCTTTAATTCCTGTTTTAATCTAATTAAAATTTATTGTGGTAAACAGCAATATGTATGTATAGATATATAGAGAGATCACATAGATATATGTGTGTATCATTGGTTAATATTTAAGAACTCTAAAAGATTCCACACATCAAAAGGTTTCAGTTGATTTTAAAAGTTACATGGAATAATGAAATTGTAAAAACAAGAACAGATAAGTTCTGGTTCAGGTGGGATGGAAATGAGACATGAGATATTGCCACATATGCAAGGAAATATAAATATTAGAATCAAATACCAGATATAAATTCCATGCTACTACATTTGGAAATAGTGAAAGAATCTAAGAAAATATAAAAGGACAAAATTGGGTAAAGAAGTTGGAAAAGTGAATATAAAATAAATAATGAAGAAATTGGAAATTTTTCAAGGAATTTCCTCTATGAGATGCTATGGGTTCAAAGAGCAGTATGGGTAAAATCTTTCAAAAACTTCAAAGAAATTCCACAGAATATAAACGGACGCACAGCATGAGAAATTATGGAAATTTTCCCAGTTGTTTTTGCAAAGCTAGTAAAACAAACTCTCTCTCTCTCTCTCTCTCTCTCTCTCTCTCTCTCTCTCTCTCTCTCACACACACACACACACGCACACACACACACACACAAAATAGGTTAAACTCAATTTAGCATATGGATATAAATAATCCTAAATGAATTGGAAAATGGAATTAATTAAAACTAACAATACACAGAAAATTAATGTGTTAGACCCAACATGACTTTATTCTAGAATGTGATGATCAGTGTATTATGGGTAATCCATTAATATTGAATCAATAGAGAAAAGCCATGTGGTAAACACAAAAGTTCCCCAAAGACTTAATGCTTGAAATTGTAAAATTTTAAGATCACTCTAGATTCACACCTAACTATAAGAAATAATACACAACAATAATATGGAAACATATCCTCTCTTTTACAGTGTAACACTGTGCATAACTATAGCACAAGCAGGAAATGTATATCAGGGGGAAAAATCTATCTCCCTTATTCATATTTATATAAATTGACTTGTGAGTGTTTGGTTATATGCATTTTGTAATAAGTATAGATTTGCATGCCTATGCCCACATTTAACATGCAAAACAATTCTCCTATAGTGTCTCTTACATACTGTCCTAGCCACAGACATGAATCTATTTTCCATTTCTATGATTTTTCTTTTTTATGGTGCTGGGGATTGAACCCAGGACCTTGTGCATGTGAAGCAAGTACTCTACCAACCAAGTTATATCTCCAGCCCCATTTCTATGATTTTGTCATTTCATTTTCATGTAAATAAAATTATAATGTATGTAACCTTTTTGAGATCGGATTTTTTTCCCACTCACCAAAATTCCTTTGAGATCCATGTAAATTTTTGCTTGTATCAAATTTTCTTTCTTTTTTTAATGATAAGTAGTATTTCCTAGCATGGATATGCCACAGTTTTTTTTGTTCATTTGTTTTATTTTGTTTTATTTAACCGAAACATTTTTTAACTCCGTAGTTTGGGGCAACTACAAATAAAGTTGCTGTGAAATTTAGGTGCAGATTTTTCTGTGAACATGAATGTTTACTGTTTAAATGTTTTGTTTTTTTTTAATGCAACTCACGGCTCTTAAAGTTTTCATATGTTTAATTTTGTAATCAACGACCATACTCGTTTTCATTTTATATTCCCTCTAGTATATGACTGTCTCCGTTTCTCTACCTCCCTACTGGCATTTAGTGATATAACTATTTTTCTAGCTTTAGCCATTCTTCTAGGTGTGTGGTAACCTCCCCTTGCAGTTTTCACTTGCGTTTCCTTGATGGCTAATGACATTGGACATCTCTTCGTGTGTGCACTTGCCATCTGTGTATCTTTTTTCAGTGGAATATCCATCCATGTCTTTTGCCCATTTTCTAATTGGATTTTTTTTGTTTGCAACTGTTACCTACCAGTCTTGTAGCTTGCTTATCAATCTTCTTAACAAGGTTATTGCAGAGCAAAATTTTATATTTTTAGGAAGCCTAATTTATCAATTTCTCCCCTTCAATTTCAATTTCAAGGAACTCTTTGCTTAGGCCTAGCTTTGAAGGTTTTCTCCTGTGCTTTTAAATAAATGTTTATATTTCACTACCTTTAAGCTTTCTCATTCATTTTGAGTTCATTTTGTGTTAGGTCAAAGCTGTAGATAGAGGTTCATTGCTTTGCATATAGAAGCCCCATTTCTCAAACACCATTTATTAAGAAGCCTTCCCTTTGTCTAATGATCTGCTTATGCAACTTTCTCAAAAGTCATTTGGGCATATAGGCATGGGACTATTTCTGGGTTCTCTGTTCTAAACTACTTTTATGTATCTATCTCTCCACCAATATCACATTATAAGACTCAATATTCTTCCACTTTATTCTTCTAAAAGAATTGTCTTTAGTTATTTCAGGGTATGGGATTTTTCATATAAACTTTCCCATATAAATTTTTTCTGTATTGAGAGAATCCATGGTTGTAGTTTGATAAGAATTGCTTTAAACCCAGGGAACAATTTGAGGATAGTTAATATCTTTGGTAGGTCAAATCATCCAATCCATGAACACTTTACATATCTGTAGTTGGGTCTTTGATTTCAATCATCAGCTGTCAAAATTTTCAACATTTATATCATATATATATATATATATATATATATATATATATAATTGATTTATAAATATTTCATTTTGTTTTTAGCAGTTATATATAATTTTGTGCTTTTAACATTGGTTTCCACTCATTTGTTATGCATTTATAAAAATATGACTGATTTTTCTATACTGATATTGTGTACAGAATATTTGCTGAAATTGTGTATAAGTTCTGTGAGATATTGTTGAAATTCTTCAGATTTTCTGCATAGAAAATAATGTCAACTAAAAATAGGAACTTTTTTCCTTTTTTATATGCATACCTTTTATTTCTTAATGTACTGGTAGAATTTCCACCACTATGTCAACTAAGAGTGATGAAAGAAGACATCTTTCCCTGTTCCTGATCTTAGGGGGAAGATTTCAATCCTTCACCATTAAGTATGATGATAGCTGTAGGTTGTTTGGAAATGTTTTCTATCAAATTGAAGAAATTCCTCTCTGTTCCCATGTTATTTTTTTCTGAGAGTTTTGATCATGAGTAGTATCAGAATTTGTCAAATGTTTTCTCTGCATTAGTTGATATAACCCTATTATTTTTCTTTTAGCTTGTTGATGTGTTGGATTACATTGATGAGTTTTGAATGTTGAACCAGCCTAGCACATCTGGAAGGCATCTCATTTGGTCATGGTATATAAATCTTTTTATACAATTCTGAATTTGATATGCTAATATTTTGTTGAGGATTTTAATGACTCCATTCATCAGAGATATAGGCCTATAATTTTTGGCCCCTTTTTGTCTATTACTGATAAGAGGTATTGTTAGAAACTCCGTAAAGTAAGTTGGTATTTCCTCCTATTCTATCTTCAAAATTCTTTGCATAGAATGGATATTATTTATGTAAGATTTTCTAATGAAACCATCTGTTTCAGAGATTTCTTTTTATGAGAGATTTTTCTCAATAAATTCAGTTTATTTAATGTTTTATTACTATTCAGATAGTCCATTCTGAGTTGGTTAAGTTGGGGGTAGTTTTTGGTTTGAGGGAGTTAGTTCTTTTCTTTTAGGTTGTTGAAAATGTGAGTATAAAGTATTACAGAGTGTCTCTTTACTTCCTATGACTGGGGATTATGTAATAATATCCCATGTCTCATTCCTGACATGGATCATGTCTTCTCTCTTTTCATCTTTATTAGTTTTTTAGAGATTTATCCCCCACCTTCCAAAAAAACCCACTTTTTTCCCCATATCCTTTTATTTTTTAATTTTATTGGCCTGGGCTATTAATGTTTTTTATTCTCTCTTTTTTTCTGCTTATTTTCTATGTATTTTGTCTTCTTTTTCCAGTTTCTTGATGTAGGAACTTAAATTATTAATTTGAGATCTTTCTTCTTTCCAAGTGTCAGCATTTATGCTATGAATTTTTCTCTCAGTGCTACTTTACCTACATCACACATATTGATACATTGTATCTTTCTTTCTTTTTTTTTCTGTTTTCCTTGATTTCCTTTGATACTTTTTCTTTTACCCACAGTTTATATAGAAGTGTGTCATTTAGTTTCCAAGTGTTGAAAGGATTATAGAGATTCATAGCTTTCTTCACGATTTCATTTCTTTAAAAAGCTAGCTTAGATTTGTTGTATGGTTTAGAACGTGGTCTACCTTATTAAATATTCTGTGGACTCTTGATATATGTTCCTTTAAATTTATTGTGTTATTCATTTCTTCTGTACCCTGACTGATTTTTCACCTTGTAGTTCTATCAATTACTAAGAAAAGACTGCTGCAGTCTGCAACTTTAATTGTGGATTTGTCTATTTTCTTTTGTAGCTCTGTGAGTTTTGCTTTGGGTATTTTGATTTTGAGAAGAATTGAACTTTTCACAAATAGCCTTTTAATCAAAATCATAGCATTTCCCAATGCTTTCTCGAATCTCATTTTAAATCTATGAATTTGTGAGGGTTTCCTTCAAAAATTAATATTCTTAGGATTTTTTATTATTTCTACTGTAAAATTTACTAGTATCAGTTACTGGTGCATACACACTTAGGATACTTAATTCTTGCATGATATATCTTTTTCCATCCTAAGCTTTTAACTTACATATGTTGTTATATTTGAACGGAGTTTCTTGCAAACAATATATGGTTAGATCATTTCTAATCTACTCTGCAAATATTTATCTTTAGTTAATCTATTTAGACCATTTCTTTTTAAGATAACTATTGATGTGATAGACCGTGCATCTGAAGTTTTATACTTTGTTTTCTGTTTATTTTCTCTGTTCTTTGTTCCTCTTATTCTCTTTTTCTGTATTCCTGTCAAATATACACTTTTTTTTCATTGATTCCATTCTGATCTGTTTATAATGTTTTTGAGAATATGTCTCTGTATAGTTTTCTTAGAGCTTGCTTTACTAAAGTTCAGTTTTAAAAACACATCTAAATAAAACAAAATCGAAAAAGCTGCTCTTCTAACATAGTAAGTAATACTGTTGAAAAATTTAAATCAGACACAATAGCAAAACATGAAAAGTGTCCCCTTGAAATCATGACATTATAAGAATACTTGTTATTAACATTGATATGTACCTTCTTTTGAAAATTCTAGCTAAAGCAACAAGACAACAAAACAAGTGAGAAAGTTTATACCTGGAATGGAATAAGTTCATCTTTTTATTCTTTTGTTCAATTATTTTATTGACTTCTAGAAAAACAAAAAAATTAAACTTTTGAGAATTGATAACATTTATTGGTTTGTGACTACTATAAAATAAACATGAAAACAGTTTTCTGCAGTAAAACATTTAAATGAAAATGTAAATTTTACAGTAGAAATAATAAAAAATCCTAAGAATATTTTTTGAAGGAAACTCTCACAACTTTATAGATTTAAAATGAGATTCAAGAAAGCATTGGGAAATGCTATGATTTTTATTAAAAGGCTATTTGCGAAAAGTTCAATTCTTTCAAAATCAAATAATTTACTTGGATTTCAATAAAATGATTGAACCAAATTAGCCAAAATTATTTTACAATGAGAAATGAAGATGAATGACCAAAAAACATTTAGAAATGGCAAAATATTGAAAGAGGACTTGACCTATCTATCAATTAGGTATAATTAAAAAATGTCATGCTGGCCCTAGACTAGCCAGACAGATTAAAGATATAGGAAAACACTTCAGAAATAAAACATAAAACACAAAAATTATTTTATATACAAATTTTGATTAAAATTTCAGGATGCTTAAGAGGATGGTGCACTACATTTTTTTATAAATTAAATTTCCTTTGAATCTGTTAATATATATCCTGACTCCTTTTTATTTTCTTAAAGATACTAGCCAGACATTGAAAATAGCATTCTTGTTTTACAAAATTCCTCAGATTTATTTATCAAATCTCCTTTTATTATATAGTAGGTTTTCTTCCTTTAGTTAACAGTTTATTGTACTCTTATTTTTCCAACCTTCATGTTATGAATAACTTCTATTATTCAACTCTTTTTTAGTATAAAAAGCATTTTATACTATAAATTTGTGTCTAATAGAACTGTGGCAACATTCTGTATATTTCAATGTGTGTTTTTGTTGTAATTATTCATTATATTCCACAACTGCCATTTCATTTATTTAAAAAGATAAGTATTTATAAGTATCTGTTCACTTTTGTTTTGGTGAACATTTGTTTTTATTTCACTGTTGTTAAATGGGTGAGATAGTGTTTTGTGGATAATACTGAGGTTTGCTTTGTACCTTATATAACCTTATTTACACTGTCCACAGAAACTTAAGCTGTGTCACATAATTATGTATCTGTAATATTACATTCATGTAGTTGCATGATTTAGACCTTATATGCTCATTAATTTTATTTGCTTGTGATCTGTTAAGAACTCATAAAAGTGTATCTGAATCTTTCACATGTGTTGATTGTCCCCTCTCTTCAACAGTATTTACTTATATAATTTGATGCTATGTAATTCTGTGCACAAACTTTTATGATCATCTTCTTCTTCTGTGATTATACACTTCACTTTTAAAAGAGAAAAAAAAACTTATTTAAAACCATATACGTATAAGTTGAATATAAAAAAAGAATATAAATTCAATCTTAAATGTACATAATTTATTCAGCTTCATATTGATTGTTAAGCCTAATATTTAAATATATATGGAAATTCTTATTTGCCTCATATCCCTTCAGGAGAGTATTTTTTAAGGTAAAATGAAGTACCCTAAAGTGATTAAATCTCATAATATTCTTAAACCGTCACAATTATCATTTAATTATGTAATTTTATACAATCTCTAATTTCTCTAGAATCATTTAAATGATCGAATCTCAGAACCCTATTTTCCATTAATTTCTAGGTACTTTTAAGAGGCTAACATAACTTGAGAACATTCTTAACATTTTTTAAATTTATATATGACAGCAGGATGCATTACAATTCTTATTACACATATAGAGCACAATTTTTCATATCTCTGGTTGTATACAAAGTATATTCACACCAATTCATGTCTTCATACCTGTACTTTGGATAATAATGATCCTCACAATGCACCAACATCCTTAGTTTTGACTCTTTACATTTGACAAAGGCCATGGGCCCTGTATCTCAGGAACGACTGCTCTAGTTGACTTTCAGCATAGTAAGTGTTGCAAAAAGTTTTTTATTCTGAACATTTACTTCATGGGGGTCAGAAATGTTCCCACTGGATACAAGTTTTCTTTAAAAGATTTTAATTATTGCAGCTCTTTTTATAAATCTCATGACTTCTCATACCTTGTAATGCTTTCAAATGCAAACTAATAATGTATCTAAAAATCGCCTAAGCAAAACAGTTCATGTTCATTTCTTGAGACATCTCACTGAAGTCTAAGTTATAGATTTAGTGTGATGTTTTGAATCATAAAGGTTAGGAGTTTACAGTCATCATTGTAATTGAAAGTTTATTTTCCTATGATGAAGTCACTCTAGAATAGCATGCACCAAATC